CGGAACCGTTCACTGTGCTACCCGTATGCCCTTCCAGACCAAACCAGCCCTGCCTTTCAGAACTGAACTCAGCCTTGCCACACGGGCTGAGGGCCCGTCTAATGCCTGTCACCAACCACAGCACAGATGGCAGAGACAGAGACAGTGCATTTGAGGGAGGTACATGGAACATTGCCTGCAGTGGCTGTGTGGTTTACTGGCACTGGGGAGTTTAAAATGCATCCCTGGACCTCTCAAAAGGTTGGCACCAAAGGGGAGTCAGTGGTCTCATGCCTAAGAGGAGGACCGTTTTCCGAGGAGGGCACGAAAGGTGATGGATAAGGGCAAGGTGGGGGGTGACCCCTGGGTAGGCTGCTGGACAGAGTGGCCCTCATAGGTGGCCCCAGGTTTGTACGAAAGGGCCCTAAATCAGATTGACTAGGGCACTTGGTCCTTTCCCACTTGATCTGTCTTCTGTTGTGGTGTCAGGGGCCTCCACAGCCAACCACAGAATGGAGAATGCCCCCCCCGGCCCTCCCCAGTTCCTTACCAGCATGACCACCCTGGCATCCACAGACAGACCTCTGACAGATGGGTGCTCCGGGGCATCCACAGCTCTTGCTCTAGCCTGTGTGTGACCTTGGGAGATAAGCAAGGGTGGGGCTTGTTAATATTGGGGGAAAGACCACCCAGTTTGCTGGGTTCCCAGGACCTTTCCTAAGGCTGTAATAGAGAGAGCCTGGGCTTTGTAGTCAGACTTGGGTTCGAATATTCTGCCTACCAGCATTTTGATGGTGGTAAATCACCAGCCTCTCTGAGCTTCAGTTTTCGCACCTCTAATGGGAAGAACATTAATAGGATGACAGTAGAGATAATGTATATGAAAGTATGGGCTTAAAAACGGTTGCTACTGCTGATGGTAAGAATGTTAATATTATTAGCTAATCTCTCCATTTCCACCTGTGAAAGTCACTGACTATCATGAAATAAATAAATTCCTGCTGTTGCTAAGCCTCGCGTTGGCCGTGTGAGCGGTTGCTCGCTCTGGTGGGCTCGTATGATGTGCCTTGGGTCACATATTTGAAGCCTTGGTTTGCTCTGTCCGCAGTGTGATGTGGCCTGTCTCCCGATCCACAGTCACACCAGCCTCAGATTATGCCCCTCCAGCTACCCCGAGGACAAGGACATTGCCTGTTTCTTTGAATACCCCCTCCCCCATCATCGGTAACATTTTTGTGTTTCCCATGGCAGCATCTTAAGTGAGATTGTGCAAATATAGCTTCCAGATGTGACTGTCATCCAGTTATTCTTATGCACTGCAGGACCAGCAAGTAGAAAATTGATTGTATATTGATGGTCATAGCTCGTGGTGCCTGTGAACGTGGTCAGGGCTCAGTGCACACACTGAGGTTGCCTCTGGTGGCACCGCTCTGCGGAGGACAGTGCATCTGTGTGCTGTTATTTGCCTCGCTGCTATAAAGGGAGGAGACCAGGGCCCAGGCTGCCCTTGCCAGACAACGAGCCTGGGGCAGAGGGAGGCTGGCTGCCTTGGAGCATTGAAGCCGTGAGGAGACCTATCGGTTTTTCAGTTCCTACGTCCTTGGGAATCAATTGAGCAAATATTTCGGAAAGCCCATCATATTAGAAAGCAGAGGCATTCTAGCTTAGCCTTCCCATAATCCTCACCAGCTCCTTTAAAACGCCCCCACAGGAACATATGAGCTCAGTACAGCTGCAGGGCAAGGCCACCCGCCCCTCCTGCCCCCTCATCTCCCTTGTGCAGAGGATCTGCACATCTGTTGCTTCCATCTCGGCAAAAGAAGAGTTGCACGTGGAGTCCCACCCTGGAGTCCGCAGCCAGCAACGCACTGCCTCCCAGGGTGTGGTTCTCCCCCTCTGAAATGGGTGGCTCCTGAGGTTTCGCAGGTTGCAGGCCTGACCTGGAGCAGACGCAGGCACTGGTCAAGTATCTGGTAGAACATTAAGGCATGCTTGCAAATAGATGCTTTTAACAGTCTCACTTGACCTGCTCTTTGATTGCTGTGTCCTTCCTCCAGCACTGAAGTTGGGGTGTGGCTGACTTTGGAGATGAGAGGTTTGCATTGTAGAAGGGTTTAGAGATCACCCCAGCCTGCTTCTGCTGCTTCGTGTGTTCAAGTGGGGAGAAAGACCCGTGAATTTTTAGGAACGTTGCTCTCTGCTCCCTGCCCCCACTCCCAAACTTCTTGCCCTCGAAGTAGCAGGATCTGAGTATACTGGTGAGAGCTAGTTACAGGATTCTGAGCTCTGGCCACATTCTCGGTTCCATACCGGCCATAGCAGGTGACCCTGGGAATTTGGGCAGTTGGCGTGTGCACTTCTTATGGACCTACTTGTCTTTTCCAAGCTCCCTGTAGCGTAGGTGGTCTGGGCAGGATTGGGCCCCTGGTCTGGATTTGAGGCTCTGGAGCCTGACAGCTCTGCCCCCCCTTCAGCAGCTTAGCATCACCAGCTGCTGTCCTCCCCTCCTGCAGGAACGCAGGGGCTCGCTGGCTGCTGTCCTACTCCTTTTGGCTTTCACCTCCTTTTCTGGGGCTGAGTCCTGGCCTCACTGACTCCCCAGCACCTGCTGCACCCCTCTTCTGCAGGACTCCGAAGGCCCCCTGCTCCCCGGCCCGCACCTGGGTGTCAGTGTGGGATACCCCAGGTCAGCCATCCTTGCTGCCATCCACTCATGCACTCGGTGCCCTCGGGCCACCTGCAAAGGGCCTGCCTTGCCCTCGCTCCTTAAGGTCCAGGCTGGCCAGCCTAGATGTTTGTTTTTTGAAATAAATTAATGAAGTTGTTATAAAATTTATAAAATGACGTACCTGTATGTTACCGTGAAAAGTGTCATATAGTGCAGAAGCAGCATTAGGAAGAGTTGCTAGCCTCCTTCCAGAACTTCCCTCTATTGTGAAATCTTTGTTACACCTGAGTTTGGCTGGGTCTGTGGCTTCCTGACACGACCTGTAACCTGCGAGGTCTCTTCCCTTCCCCTTCAGCAGCTCAGCCTATTCTTTTTTCAGCCTTTGGCACAAAAACAAAAGGGAAATTTGAGACTTACTTTTCAGTATTCTGGACTTGTTGTTTTTAAGGAAGGTGGAATGTGTAATTATGGTTCCCACTGCTGTCTGGCAGATTTGTGTATTTTTTAGAAAAAATTACAGGATGGACGTGGCTTTTCGTGTCCCTGCACCTGGGGCTCGAGCCCTGGGCTGGGCAGGAGTCAAGAACGTGGCCGTGAGTCCAGATCCAGTGGCACAGGCTGCGAGGGGAGGCTGCTGGGCCCATCCCGCGGGCTGCCCTTTAGACTGTGCTCCTCTGCCCAGAGGAGCACCTGGCAGGTACCCTGCCCCCCGAGGCTCCCGGGAGAAATGGTGTTGGCCAGCCGAGCTCCCGTGGCTGCCAGGGAACAGGTTTGGCAGCAAAATTAAATGACTGGTTCACTGTCATGCAGGGAGGGAAGGAGGGGAGAGGTCTGGAGTCACCATTTAATTGACAGGAGTCACTCTTACACTCTAAGCAAGAGATTGCCTTAGTACCAGCAAAAATATCCATTTCTCAGAAAAATAAATGAAGACCAGACCTGTTTAAACATCCGACTCATCTCTCTGTTCACTTTCTTAGCCCTCT